CCCCTGCTTGTGTTCCCTCTCTCGCTGTCTCTTTCTCTGTCAAATAAATAAATAAAATCTTAAAAAAAAAAAAAAAGAAGTAAATGGAATATAATAACCCAAATAGCTAACAGGAACCCTGGAGTTCTTCCAGGAGCAGATGTTCTTTTCAGAAAGGGCACTCTGGTACCCTGTGGAGGAGGGATTAGGAGGCAAACTTCGAAGAGAGACAGGTGAGGTGGCTGAGCAGTAAGCCATGCAACTACCGTTGACGCGGAGAGGAATAAAGACCAGATGTTCCAGGGCTCAAATCTACCAGTGGCTGAATGGATGTGAGCACTGCGGGTGGAGGGTGCAGGATGGTGCTGGCTTGAGCGATGGAGTGTATGTGTATAGGAGACTATACGAAGAAGGGGACAAGAAGGCGACATGGAGAAAAATATGTTTGGCTTTGGACTTACTGAGTATCAAGTAACCCTGAGCACCCAAGGGGAGAGGGTATGTAGATAGGTCAGTAGAGAAAGATGACTCTACACGTAATAGAGGCAATTCATCTTGCTGACTAAGGACACAGGCTCCGGGGTTAGACTGACCTTGGATTTGAACTTAGTAGGCTGGTGGCCTTCAGGAGGTTATTTCATCCTCTAAGACCCCAGACTCCACAGGGATGGTACCACCAACTTCGTGGGCTGTGTGACTGTTCAGTGAAAAGAGTACATGGTGCATTCAGCACGGTATCCAGCGTCACCAGAGCACGGGGGAGGTTGACTCCAGCCACCTGGTAGAAGGAGCCTTGGCAGTGGATACCCGGTCAGGAGAGAAAGGCACAAGGGCGCAGAGTCGTGACATTAAAGAAAGGGATAGAATACAAGGGGCAGTGAAAGAGGAGGAGAAGAAATGATCAAAGGAACAGAAGGAGAATCAGGAGTGAGTGAGGTCGTAGAAGCAAAAGGAAAGATAATTTCAAGAAAAGATTTAGGTCTCTATATACCGAAAAAACAAAAACAAAAACAACCTCTAAATTAGTGTGAAAGTGATGTGGGAGACAAAGGCAGAAGAGAAATTATTAAATTTCCTTACTACCTACAGCCCCTTGACAAGTCCTTGAAACAGAGTGACCTTCCTCTAAGGGACGCACTACCTCAATGCTGACACTTTGCTGAGGGCAAAAGGCAATCCTAGCTGGACACCCCACCCCCCCACCACCAGGATCCTGTAAGTCTACTTTAACATATAAAAATTCTTTTGGAAATTTCCTTTCTCTCTACCCCCCAAGATACGTGTTGGCCATCATCCCCCAAGCATATGGCCCACCGATAGACATCTGAAGGGTCTCCTGACTAAGGTTTTATTAGACGGTAATAAATGGCCTTTTCCCAACAATAGCTAGCCCCCTCAAGGTCCTGGAAACCTTGCTTCCAAAATTCCTTAGAGACTTAACGCTATCCCTAACCCTCTCCCAACTTGAAAGTGTATAATGGGCCGCTCCTCATGACCCCAGTACAGCTCTTTCTGCCCACAGGTCCTGTCCCCGTGCTTTAATAAAACCACCTTTTTGCACCAAAGACGTCTTAAGAATTCCTTTCTGGCCATCGGCTTTGAACCCTAACCTCTTTCCTACATCAACAGCAAGGTTGAACATAATGTTACTAGTAAGTAAAAAGAGTGTGTAATCATACAATCTACCTACCCGTCTTATCTATCCATCTTATCTACTTATTTATCTAAGAGATATGCAAATGTATAGAAAAACTAAGCACCGGATTGTTACCAGTAAATACCTTTGAGGAAGTAAGTGGGCTTGGGGAATGGGAATGGGGAAGGACCAGCATATGAATGGAAACTGTAACTTTTTACTCTCTCTACTTTTCATTGTTTGAATTTTCGTTTTTTTTTAGAGAGCTTGGATTTATGTACTATTTGTGTTATTAAAAACTATTAAATATAACTGAAAAGTTGGAGCTACATAAGGAAAGAAAAGCTTTGGAAAGTCATTGTTGACTCGGGCGACAGCAGTTTCCCTGCGGCAGGGAGAGAAACCCATCAGAGAGGGTGCCTGAGCTGTGTGCTGTGTGCAAGGGAGAACCATCCAAGATTTCTTCAGAAAGCTGGGCGGCACAGCAGCTAGAGGAGGATGGGGGCCGAGGGAGGGATTTTAACGTTTTGTTTCAAGGTGGGAGAGATTCGTGGAGAATCAAAGAATACAGGAAAAAAGCCCAAGAGGGGTTGGTAAACAGATGGGAAGTATAATAGAGCAAGGGAATAAATGATGGAGCAAGGGAATGCGAGGGAAGAGACTCAGGGCAGAAATGGGCCTTGAAGCAGCGTCAGGTCTTGGGACGGGGAGAACCCGTGGCGGTGGCGCCCCCCGCAGGCGGTCCGGAGGGCGCGCGCAGACAGACGGAGCTCCCGCCACAGTGTGAGCAGAAGCAAAAGCCCTGTGAGGGGCCGGAAAGAGAACCGACAGGTGAAAGTATTAACAACGGGCTGCAAAGAAAGCGATTCAAGCCCAACTCTTCCCTATAGAAAACAAGTTCTACGATCTCATCAAGTGAAATCTTTCATTGTTCCCAGACATAGTATCCCTTTTCTCTCGTGTTGCGCTTTGCAGGCTCTGAGGAAGAACGTGCTTAAGCCTCTTTCATCATGTCAAATCTGGAGGCAAAGGCCCAACAGAACTTCTTAGTAAAAAAA